TCTCAATCTTCTCTCTACAAAATGAACAAACTGGCCAAGATCGAAGTGCTTCAATCGAAGACACTCCGATTCTTAAGTCAGTAATGATTTTAAAGCAATTGCTAAAAGAAAAGGAGAGTTCAACGTACCTTTCACCTTGGTTTCTTTTGTTTTTTATAGATGGTTATCCCATTAGAGTTTCCGTGATTTTTGATTCAAGGTGGCACATCTTCCTTTAATTCAGTAATTCAGTTTGGGAAGTAGCTGATATTTCTCCAACAATCCCTCCTGATATCTGCAATTTTGTTGACTCGTTCATTCAAAATGTTTAAGTTAAAGTCTTCTTTTTATATTTCTATCCTATGTTTCGAACAACTCGGTCATAATGAGAGCCAAGCTCTTTTGATACTTGTCGAACACATTATTTAACTCGNTTAAAGTCTTCTTTTTATATTTCTATCCTATGTTTCGAACAACTCGGTCATAATGAGAGCCAAGCTCTTTTGATACTTGTCGAACACATTATTTAACTCGGTCTGATAAAAGTCGAGCTCTTTCATAGCTTTGCCAAATCATATTGGCTAGTTCGGCAAGACCCATTTGACTGAGTATCTGACATCCTCATCACGTGCCTTATTTTGTCAACCTCACGTGGGCTCATTTAATGCCACAATATATGTAATAATGAGAGCCAACCCCTTCATTTGCCCCCAGAAAATGTTTGACAAACGTCATTCGTTTGTCAGCCGTTTTATGCATTTTCATCATTATTGCGCCTACCTTGTGACATTCCCCTTTATTTTGGAGGCATGTTTTGGGCATTTAAATATTGCCTTTTAGAATTCCTCTCTTTATAAGTGATTTCTCTTATTTTTTCTCTCACCTTATCTTATCAGTTTCAGATCCATCTTCTTCCTTATATCTATATCGTCTTTCTTCTTTCTGCATTCATCTTCTTCAATAGCCCCTCTTACACCTTCCGAAATTCCTACTTTCAAAACCAAATACAACATTACAGACGACATTGAAGTAAAGGTAGCTAGGNCTTCAATAGCCCCTCTTACACCTTCCGAAATTCCTACTTTCAAAACCAAATACAACATTACAGACGACATTGAAGTAAAGGTAGCTAGGGAAGATGAGCCCCTGATTGGGACAAGAGAAAGGATTCCGATTTACACTAGGGCAATCACCGAAAGTGGTGTGCACTTCCCACTTGACCCATTACTTCTTTGGGTGCTGTCAGCCATGAAGCTGTGCCTCATCCAGTGCTGCCCCAATTTCTTCAAAATAGTGATGGGTGTGGTGGCCTTGAACAAGCTTCTAAACTTGAGTTTGGGGTTGTGGGAGATTCTGTTCTGCTACATCCGCAAACCGATAGGGGATAACTACTACCTTGTGGTGAGGAAGAAGGAACGATATCTGATTACCCATCTTCCAGACTCGAACAAGGGTCATGAGAATGATGTGGTTTTTGTCTTAGGCAACTGGGAGTATGCTGCTGGTGCCACTCCTTCTTATCACTGTCCTTACAAGGAAGGTGCTCTAGGTATTTGAGTCTTTTATTTCTTCCAAATTTGTTCTCTTTCTTCTTTTCCCTTTTCTGATTCAAGACTTTTGCGTGTAGGAGAGACTGTGAAGGGCCGAGTTCCTAACTCCTCTGTGAAGATTGACGAACTCAAGAAAGTTTGGGACTATAATGAAACACTGTTTTGCTGAGCTGCTCATATATTACTTAGCCACACATCATCCTACACTTCCTTCATTGCTGTGCCGAACTGACCTAACACAACTTTGGCCGCTGGTCGGGAGGCAATTCAGGATGCTCGGGAATAGACTCCCCGAGCCAAGATGAAGTCTTCCCTTGTAGCCTCTGGACGCAGAACGGTGAAGAATTTTTGGACCTTTTATCAACTATTGAGCCGATCCCATCCTTTAAAACGATTCCAACAACTTTTGCATCACCTATCCCTGTTGATGACGAACCTGCTACCGAGGTTCCTGCTGAACCTGATCTTCAAAATGATGCAGATCTGCCCATCGAGGGACAAGCAGACATGGTTCAAACTTTTGAAACGTCAATTCCAGTTGATTTGGATCCTCCAGACTTAGTTCATTCTCCCGTTTTTAATGATGATTCCATTTTTAAACTTGTCAAAAATCCTACTCCAAAAAGGCGAAGGGTTTTTGAATTCGAGGCAAGCCTCTCACCTAAATCCTTCAATCCTCATTTTTGACCTGTCCTTAGGGCGAAGAGGAGAGAAATTACTACAAAAGATTCTGCAATTGAAGACTTCAACATTATAGTGGGGATTGCTCAGGGGGGATTTTGCCTCGAGACTTAGCTATGAATGAGGCTTTAATTGACGATGAAGTGTCCCGTCAAGCGATTCAGCATTTGGTCTTGGTAAGGCTCATTCCTTTAGTCTTTCCTTCTTTCCCTCCAGATTTTTCTTCAAGATTTTTCTAAGTCTATTTTTTTTAATCAAGGGTCTGCAAAAAGTGCATGAGGTTGGGGCAAGAATAGCTAGAAAAGATAAGTCTATGAAGGATGCTATCCACACTTGCGTTGGCCAAAAAGGAGTCGATGGATGAAGAATATTCCAAGATCTGCGAAGAAGTTAACGTTCTCCGGGTTCAAAGCCAAAGCCTAACTGAGGAGAATGAAAAGCTTCAAGCAGTGATTGGAAAGTTAAAAGATTCCGAACATGAGGCCATTGTGGAGCTTTTTCAATCTCAATTGGACTATACAAGTCTTCTGGAGGAGTTTGATCAATTCAAAGCCGAGGCAATGGAGAAAGAAGACTCTTTATATGATGAGGGGATCGAGAAGGCGGAGAATGATCTTGCCTTATAGATCCCTCAACTCTAGAATGCTTTTTTCAGCAAGGGATGACATACTGCTTCAATTGCAGCGGGGGTTCCTTCTTCTGCTAAGCTCTTTTCTAAACATCCTCTGCCGAGCACTTTTCAACCTCCATCCTCCTGAAGTACCTGGAAGACCTTTTTGTTTTACAACTTCATGTGTAAATGTTCAAAAAATCTCTGTAATCTTTTTGAATTTTGAATGGAAATCATTTTTTGGCTTTTTTGTTATTAAAATCTACTGTATGTTTGGAAAAAATGTGACTTTTGCAGTCTTTGGCCTTTGTTCAGTCTTGTTTCTAGGGTTTGGTTCTTCAGTAGGAAAACTCTTGTATTTAAGGTGTCATGCTCGGCCCTTCTTCAATGAACTCGGTTCCTCAATAGAAACTTAAAATAACTTAATTTTTTTTTCAACTTTTAAAGTTATAGCCTTTGGTTAGCCCTTTTTCAAGAGCTTGGTTCCTCATCAGGAACCAAAAAATAACTTCGAAAAATTTTCAACTCTTGAAGTTTTGGCCTTTGGTCGGCCTTTCTTCCAAGAGCTCGGTTCATCATCAGGAACCAAAAAATAACTTAGAAAATTTTTCAACTCTTGAAGTTTTGGCCTTTGGTCGGCCCTTCTTCCAAGAGCTCGGTTCCTCAGTAGAAACCCAAAAATAACTTAGAAAATTTTTCAAATCTTGAAGTTTTGGCTTTTGGTTGGCCCTTCTTCCAAGAGCTCGGTTCTTGGTAGAGTTACTCATACTCCACTTGGGCATTAAAGAGTTTCTACTTCGCACCAACCCGCCAATCTGATTGGACTCAAATTCATCCCTAATCAGCTTACATCATCATGCCTAGTTGAGGGAATGAATTAGATTGGGTGGCTGCACCTGATTTAAGTTTATAACTTCTATCAGGATTTTTTGTCTCCCTGCCTTAGTAGTAGGACATATACATATCAAGGAAAGAACAACGAGAATACGATGATCCCTAAAAAAGTCTTTTTATTAATAAATTTTGCTCATATCAGTACACTTTGCTCAACACTTGTTCATTCATAAGGGGTACCCTTAAGTTTCTGAAAGTACTTCGAAGTTCTATCTTAAAAAGACACTTCTTAAAAATAGAACTTTCTTAAATTAGCAAAGTTCCAGGGGTGTGGTACCGCTTTACCGTCTAAGATCTCGAGCTCATAATAACCACTGTCTCCTACTCGGGACACCATGTATGGACCCTTCCAGTTTGCACTAAGCTTCCTATGGTCAAATTTTTAGTTGATCCCAGTACTCGGGACACCCTGTATGGACCCTCCCGTTGGATCACACTGGTTTCGGATTTCTGCTTTTCACCAGTCCGAAATTTTGAGTTGTGACTGCTCATGAAGAACAGTTACTCAAGGTGTCTACTAGCTATTGTGTCTTGTCATTCTGGATTGTGTCCTTAAGTAAGGTGACTGTCCGAAAACTCACCAATGTGTCTATAAATACCCAGACTCATTTTCATTAATTATTCAATTCTTTTAGTCCATTTTTAACATTAAACAGACATTAGAACATATCATTTTTGGCATTAAGGCAGTGCATTTAGAGAGTACATAACACGATTTTGGTTTGCTGGACGAGTAGATTGGAGTGTTATTTATGTTCGTGTAAAAATCATCGGAGTACATTAGGCAGTCCAAAATTTTGAGTTGTGACTGCTCATGAAGAACAGTTATTCAAGGTGTCTACTGACTTTTGTGTCTTGTCATTCTGGATTGTGTCCTTTAGTAAGGTGACTGTCCGAAAACTCACCAATGTGTCTATAAATACCCAGGCTCATTTTCATTAATTATTCAATTCTTTCAGTCCATTTTTAACATTAAACAGACATTAGAACATATCATTTTTGGCATTAAGGCAGTGCATTTAGAGAGTACATAACACGATTTTGGTTTGCTGGATGAGTAGATTGGAGTGCTATTTATGTTCGTGTAAAAATCATCGGAGTACATTAGGCAGTCCAAAATTTTGAGTTGTGACTGCTCATGAAGAACAGTTATTCAAGGTGTCTACTGACTTTTGTGTCTTGTCATTCTGGATTGTGTCCTTTAGTAAGGTGACTGTCCGAAAACTCACCAATGTGTCTATAAATACCCAGGCTCATTTTCATTAATTATTCTGGTTTTTGTAGTATCAGGACAGCTTGGTTGATGCACCATACTTGACCATTTCACTCTTCTTGAACTCTATAATTTTCAAAATAATACAACTATCCTTGTCAATAAGATCATTGAAAGAACTTGCTGGCAGTAAAAGGGTTATGCGCTAGAGCTAAGGCTTCCTTGAGAGAGAAAGTAACATAAAAAACACCATGAAAACAAACAATTCTACCACAAATTAAGAGGAAGATGCTCTGTATGCGCACAGAGATAAGACTCACATACAGAGCACACTTACGAAACATGTTTATAAATTGCTGGATTTCCTATTTAAACCTTATAAAATGTATTTTATAATCTCCCCATGCCAGCTCACACTCAGGAATAAACAGATAATACTGAAAACTTGTTTCACTTTGCAAATGAAGATGAAGAGATGATGAATGTGATTAAAATAACCTCTGATAATTTTTTGTGATGGACTCAGATTACTTGATGGTGCTTTATTCTTCCCTGAATTAGCATTCTTATTTTCTGAAAAGAAAAGAACCACTGGAACTAAGAAATAAAAAAGGAAATAATTAAGCAACTCGAAAAGGAAAAAATAAAAGAAAAATGATGTGATACCAACAGAAATTGGATTATTCCTGAACTTTTGGCCATGTAAATTTCCAGATTTCCCCGTAACCTTTTTATCTCTTCCTTGGAAATTCAAATTAGGTATAGATTTGTGATCTCCATGAGAATCCCCAATGTCGACTAGATAAGCATCGAATTCCAGTGTTTCACCGGATCTGATGACATCCTCTTTCTTCACAAACCTGCTTTCTAATAGTTTTTCACAATCATCATATAGCAGGACCTGTGTAAAGAATTCAAAAAAAAGTATTAATGTGATATTTTCTGTATGATTGAACTTTACAAAATTTAGTTCAAAAAAATTTATTCAAATCCAAGCATAGAAGAAAACGAAAGAAAAACAAAAAGGAGAAATGAAAACACAATAATAATAATAAAAAAAAAATCTCTTCAAAATATTGGATTATCAGACATGAACTAGATCTTTCTGGTAGTGCCATCAGAAGTCATAACTTCACGAACTGATTGAGCAAGTTTTATGGAACAGAAGCACAATACAGTGATCTGAGGTGCTAAAAAACATTTTTCCGCATAAAAGACTCAACTCAATAATCTGAACACAATTTTTCCACGCATCGCCACTTATATTTGTATCTAATTTTATTGTGCATTTAATATTCACGAATCATCATACAATGTCTTCTGTAGTTAAAATCAAAGCACAGTGAACTGCTTTGGGGGGCTTTAAGCAAACAATTTCACTGTAGTGTGTGTGTATATATATACACAGAGAGAGAGAGAGATTGAAAAATTGAATGCATAAGAAGGAACAAATTGAATGATTGGAAGACCTTGTGGCTTGACGAGTGAAGCTCTAGGAAACCGTCCTGATAGACTTTACGCTTCTGCTTGATGTGCTTTGTGTAGGTTACAGACCATTTCTTCGCATCTGCCATCGTTGCAACAAATTTGCCTATTGGAGGTGATAAGATTCTACACATTACGATCGACAATTCGCAATATGCCAGAAATTTATCTGAATATCACCATTGAAAAGCGAGCAAACAAAGATTTGAAAAATAGCTAGCATTCAGTTGAGCTGCTTTTGATTTAAATGGCGGGAACGTAGCAATTCTAAGTGGCTGGCCGAAAGTCTGAGTTCCAATCTCCACTGTCAAAAGGTACACACGGGGTGACCGGGTGACGAGAAAAATAAAAGAATTTAAGGTAAATCTCATAAATGTCCCATGGATTATGATTTTTATTTTAAATTATCCCTTAAATTTTTAATTATCTCAATTTATTTCAATCAATCTCTTTTGTTAAGATCGATAAATAAGATAAATTAATGATTAATTTTAACCAAATTTATTTCATTTAACGAAATCAAACTCATTTAACATTAATTTCAACTGAAGAAGTCGATTGAAATAAATTACATAATTTAATGAAAATTTTAAAACAATTAAAAATTTAGAAGTTGTTTAAAAGCTAAAATTACCCAGGAATTTTTAAATTAAATTTGATGATTCACTTTGGGTGAATGTCACTTTGTACTCTAATAGTCCATCAAATTCTCATTTTAATATTTCATATTGCTATCAAAATTAGAAAAAAAAATGTAGTAATCAAAAGTATGTTGCTTTATTTGATAAATTTTTCTGTTCGATTTCGTATTTTTCTAATTTTTGTACACAATGATTTTCGTACTTTTCTATTTTACTATTATTATAAAATTTTACAACCTAATCGTACTCTTAGGTTTGATGCTTCCCGTTTCTATAATGATATTGCGGCTAGGGTATTTTTGTTAGAATTTAGAGGACTATCACACACTCACAAGAAAAATATAATGGGAGAAACTATTGAAAATTAGAAGAACTCTTTGTATTCACTCGTGTCCAGGTGAATGTATTACATATGATATATATAGACTCTCATGACATATAAAATAACCCCACTACATAATGCAATAATAAAAATAATAAATACCTCACTCCTCCATTACTTGGAGAATTAAAATACCACAATTATTTTGTCCCCACTAATACCATATTGATGACCCACTAATACAAAAAACTAAATGCATAAAAATAACTCCTAAAACATAAAAAATCAAGTTTAATATTATTTTTCCAACACCCCCTTAAACATGATTTTTCTTCTCAACTCCAAACAAACTTCTCAATTTGCAAAAGACATCCTCTTTGAGGGGCTTAGTGAAAATATCGACAATTTGATCTTGAGACTTCACAAAATTGAGCTCTACCTCTTTCTTGGTCACATACTCTTTAATGAAATGAAACCTTGTGTCAATATGCTTACTACGATCATGAAACACCGGATTATTTGTCAGCGCTAGTGCCGATTTGTTATCAATGAAGATCTCCGTCGATTCTTCTTTAGGCACATGAAGTTCTTTCAACAAATTTTTAAGCCAAATGGCTTGACAAATACATGATGTAGCCGCCACATACTCGGCTTCACAAGTTGAAAGAGTCACAATAGGTTGCTTCTTTGAACTCCAAGCAAATGTGGTATCTCCCATGAAGAAAACATATCTGGTAGTACTTTTTCTATCATCTATTTATCTGCCCCAATCACTATCACAATAACCCACAAGTTTGAAATTGTTTAGAACAAGAATATAACAATCCACAATCAAGTGTACCTTTGATGTATCTAAGAATTCTTTTTGTCGCCTTCAAATGGGTCATGGTAGGAGCTTCCATATAGCGACTTGCAAGATCAACACCAAAAAGAATATCTGGTCTTGTGCATGTTAAGTACCTCAGGCTTTCCACTAGGCTCTTGAAATAGGTAGGATCCACATGCTCTCCATCTTTCATATTTTAACAATTTTACACCACATTTAACGGTGTGCATACCGACTTACAATCTTGCAGCTTGAATTTTGCCAAAATTATTTTAGCATAACCTTCTTGAGAGATAAAATATCTTCTTTCATTTGCTTCACTTCAATACCAATGTAGTATGACATAAGCCCAATGTCGATAATTTCAAATTTTTTAGTTATTGCTCTTTTGAAATCTTCAAACATTCTTAGACAATTTCCTGTGAAGATTAATCATCCACATACAACACAAGCATAGAATATATCACCATTATCATTCACCTTTGCACAAAGAGCATGTTCATGGGGACACTTGGTGAAATTATTTGCTTGAAAGTACTTGTCAAGTCTACTATTCCAAGCCCTTGGTGCTTGCTTCAAGTCATATAAAACCTTTTTTAATTTCAAAACTTTCGCTCCTTGCCCTTTCAAAAAATAACCCAAGGATTGTTCAATATACACTTCTTCATCGAGAAAGCCATTAAAAAAGCGGACTTTACATCCATTTGATGAATTTTTCAATTATTTAGAGCGGCTAAGGAAATAATCAATCTAATTGTTTCCAAATGAGCAACGGGTGCAAATACCTTATCATAGTCAATACCCGGTCTTTGACTATAACCTTTTGCAACCAACCTTGCTTTGTACCTCTCTACTTCACCTTTGACATTTTTCTTTGTCTTGTACACTCACTTCACTCCAATGACTTTTTGTCCTCTAGGAAGTGTGACAAGCTCCCATGTTCAATTTCTTTCAATAGTATCTATTTCTTCATTCATGACACTCTTCCATTTCTTGTGTTGTGCTGCTTTCTCATAGCCTATGAGATCACAATCGGCAAATAGACAAAATAGTGTTAGATCACTAAATCTTTGAATTACCTCTTCGATTTTTTTATAGATATCTCGAAGACTCCTCATGCGAGGTGGCCTTTCACTTGAACTTGCTTCGGATGATGATGGAGATACTTGCACATTGTTGGGTGATGGTGGAGGAGAATAAATGGGCAGCTCCATGATCTCATTATTAGGCTCATCCTCTTCTTCAAAGAATGGGAAAGAATCATAGTCTTCTTGTGGAGTGTTCCAATCCCATTCATCTTCTTCATCAAACTCAACATCTCTACTAATGATTATCTTGTTACTTGGGTTGTAAAACTTGTAACCTTTGCTTCTTGAATCATAGCCAATAAAGACAAAATTTTCACTCTTGTCATCTAGTTTGGTCCGTTTCTCATCCGGCACATGTGCATCGCATACACTTTCAAAGATCCGCAAATGAGAAACGTTTGGCTTGATTCCTCCCCATGTTTCTTGTGGTGTTTTGTCTTGAACACTTCTAGTGGGACACCGACTTAACAAGTAGATAGCACAATCAATAGCTTCCCGCCCAAAACTCCTTGGACATTTTTTACTCTTCAACATACTCCGAGCCATGTCAAGAATGGTTCGGTTCTTCATTTCGGCAACACCATTTTGTTGTGGTGATCTTGGAACTGTTAGAGGATGATGAATTCCATTTTTTTTTACAAAAAATTTTGAATTCATTTGATGTGAATTCATCTTCTTTATCGGATCTAATTGACTTCATACCCACTTTGTTTTTCAATCAAAACCTTAAACTTTTTGAAAACACCAAACACCTCCGATTTTTGTTCTACAAAATAAACCCATATTTTTTGGTTAAAATATTAATAAAGAGAAGAAAATACCGGTTCTTACCAAATGATGGTGGGTCTATATGGCCGCAAATATCCGAGTGAACAAGTTGAAGTGGTTTGGTTACTCTTGAAATGGATTCTTTGGGAAAGCTCTTTCTAGCTTGTTTTCCAATTAAACATTCCTCACAAAGTTGATTCCGGTGATTGATAGAAGACAATCTGTTCACTATCTTCTTTCTAGACAACAAGGTTAGTCCTCCCAAATTTAAGTGTCCAAATCTCAAGTGTCATAACCAAGAAGAATGTTTAACACATGCTTTCAAGTATTTTGCCACATCACTTTGAATATTTAACAAAAACATTCTATTTCTTGTCATCGGCACTTTAATAACCAAATTCCCGTTTCCATCTCTTATTGAAAAATTATGATTTTTCATGCAAATATCATCACCTTTCTCTAAGAGTTGTCCCAAGTTCAAAATATTATTTTTCATGTTTAGAACATAAAAAATATTAGAAATAACTTGATGCCTTTCATCCTTCAAACGAATCAAAATATTACTTCTTCCCATTATTGGAATTTGATAAGAATCTCCAAAAGTGACTTTTTGACTTACCGATTCATCAAGCTCCGCAAATATATCTTTATTTCCACACATATGATTACTAGCACCGGAGTCAAGGTACCACACGTTTTTGTCTCCCTTTTGCTCTTCTTTATATGCCAACAACAAGGTCGGCTCTACCTTTTCAACTTTGTCTTCAACAAAGTGTGCTCTTTCTTTCACAAAATTATTTCTACACTCGGAAGAAAAATGGCCATATCGATGACAATTATAACATTGAATGTGAGATTTGTCATACCTCCCTCCATATGACTTTGAATTGTTGCCTCTTCCACGTCCTCTTCTACGATGTGATTTTTGACCTCTTTCTTCTTTGTTGGACACATTTTGGCCAAAGTTTTCTCCTCTACTTTGACCACGACCTCCATCTCCACGTCCACGTCCTCTACTTTTTTGACTTCCATCTTGCCTTTTTTTTTTCTTTGAAAGAAAGCTTGGTTTGTAGCACTTGCTCCGATAACTCTTGCTTCTTTTTGCCTAGCCGTTCTTCATGGGCTAACAACAATCACATGAGAGTTCATCAATCGTCATTGTGTCTAAATCTTTAGACTCTTCAGTGGCTACGACAATGTAGTCAAACTTGGGGTCCAATAAATGGAGGATTTTTTCTATCACCCGGGTATCATCATAGTGATCATCACCATAAGTTCTCAAATTATTCACAACCACTAAGATTCTTGTGAAATAATCTGAAATTAATTCAGATTCCTTCATACGTAAAGCCTCAAATTCACCTCGTAAAGTTTGGAGGTAAACTTTTTTGACTTTTTCTACTCCACTATGAACAGTTTTCAGAACATCCCACGTTTGTTTAGA